TACCATCTCCCGTCGTCGTCGATCGCATCCGAGAGCGATTTGGCCCAGGCCGCCGACTTCCACGAAGGCTGCGCCGCTGGCCACGCGGCCCGCCCCCCCGACCGGATCGACGCCGGCCGGCCGGCCCGCGGCTCTAGGACGGGGTCGACCTCGGGCGCGGGCCGGACCGCCGTGCCGGTTTGGGCCCGGGCGTCGCGCGAGCCTCGGCTACCGCGGAAAGCGCGCGTTGAGCCTCCAATCGGCACCCTTCTCATACTGCAACACCCAAGTCGGGCGGATATCAACATGGGCACGACATCCTCGGGGACTATGCGGAGGCAACACGGGGGCGGCGTTGAGCTGCCGACCCGAGGCCCAACGCGGCCTCAACATGGGCACGGAATCCTCGCGGGCGAGGCGGGAGCCACGCTGGGCCTCTGACCAGAAGGGCTCAACACGGACCAAATATGAACACATAATCCACGAGGACCATTGAGCCCCTGACGCGCAAGGCTCAACAGGGGCCCAACCTGAATGGCTCAGCGCGGGCCCAGCATGGGCACGAAATCCCCCAGAACCTCGCGGGGGCCAAGTCGAGCCCCCGACCTGAAGGTCTCCACGCGGGCTCAAAACACTGGCCCGAACCCAAGAGGACCATGCGGACATCCCAGTGAAGCCTTGAGCTGAGGGTCTCGACGCGGGCTCAACATTGGCAAGAAGTCTCCGAGGACTACGCGGCAGTCATGTTGGGCCCACGCCGCAAGGGCACCAAGAACACGGATTCCGCAAGGACTTGGCGGGAGTCGCGCTGAGCTCCTGCAGTGGGCACCCTGCGGCGCCCGCGCCAAGGCGATGCGGGGCCCCTGGCCTGAGGTTCTCAACGTGGTCTCAACGCGGGCACGGCATCCTCGCGGACTGTGCGGAAGCCGAGCCTAGGCGAGGTTGAGCCACTGGCCACAGGTTCTCAACGTGAGCATGGAATCCACGAGGACTGCGGACGTCACGCTCGGGCGGCGCTGAGCCCTGACCTCCCAACGCGGCCCCGGCATCGGCACGGAATCCTCGATAACTCTGCGGCAACCATGGTGGAGCCACCATGCGGATAGCTTGGACGCGGTCCCAACATGGGCGCGGAATCTTCGACGACTACGCGCCAATCGCGTTCAGGCCGTCATCCTGGGGGGGGGCTTGACAACACGGCCTCAAGAGGGCCGAGAAGTCATCGAGGACTGCGCGAGGGTCATCGAGACGTCAACGTCGTCGATCGCAGGTGGACCACGCGCGCCGGCGAGGCAGAGGCGATCTGAGCCTGAAAACCTACACCTGGAATGATAGAAGGGCCATTGAACCGCCCCGAGCCCCAAGCCCCGCTGGAAATAATCCCATCCTCAGCCAACCAACAAGTTGATTGGGAATTCCGCTGGAGATCGCTCGGCCATCCTTCCTACGCGCCATCCTGCTGGCAGCGGGGCCATCCTCACCCGCGCAGCGCTGCATCGCAGCATCTCGACAAGCGCGGGTAGCCAACTCACCCCACCCCCGAGCTGGCTCCCAGGAGCGACCATCACTGCCACCTACTCCCAGGGGGGATCTCGACCCATGGCGGCAGCGGGCTCACCCACTGGGGGCCACAACAAAAAGCGACGAGGCGGCGCTCCAGGCCGAGGCGCCGATGCCCGTAAAAAACTGAAAGTCGTCGCGCTGGCCCGGGCCCTCGGCCACCCGCACATGCGCGGCCCAGGCGAGCGGCCAGGCTGGGGGGAGGGATGCGACCGCCCATATGTCTGCAGCATCCACCTTCAACGGGCGACGACCCTCTTGTAGGGTCTGCCCCAGCCCCTGGTGCTCGGACCCCTCAAGGGCGGCCGTGCCCCCTGAAAAACGCGCGCGTCCTTGGCGCTCCATGAGGACCCTGAACATCTGGATGGCACTGTCGAACTCCGCCCAATGTACCCTCGCAGAGGCCTGCCACGAAGTCATGGGCGCAGGTCCCCATCGCGTTTTAAAGCGCGTCGCCCTCCCGGTGCTTCCTTTGCCCCAAGCTTCCAAACACGCTTCGCGAACAGCCGCCCACAGCGAACCACGCATGTCCCAGAGCCATCGCAAGCTCCAGGCCGACATGTCCTACAAAACTAGCGTCGGACCCTGGCTGGGTCTGGCGCCGCATGTAGCAGCCCAGATGGAGGGCGCCCCATCGCCTGGCGCCAGGGCCATCGAGACGTCAACGTCATCGCAGGTGGACCACGCGCGCCGGCGAGGCAGAAGCGACTTGAGCCTGAAAACCTACACCTGGAATGCAAATAGAAGGGCTGTTGAACCGCCGCGAGCCCCAAGCCCCGCTGGAAATAATCCCAACCTCATCCAGAAAACAAGTTGATTGGGAATTCTGCTGGAGATCGCTTGGCCATCCTTCCTACGCGCCATCCTGCTGGCAGCGGGGCCACCCTCACCCGCGCAGCGCTGCATCGCAGCATCTCGACCAGCGCAGGCAGCCGACTCACCCCACCCCCGAGCTGGCTCCCAGGAGCGACCATCACTGCCACCTACTCCCAGGGGGGATCTCGACCCATGGCGGCAGCGGGCTCACCCACTGGGGGCCGCAGCAAAACGCGACGAGGCGGCGCCCCAGGCCGAGGCGCCGATGCCAGTAAAAAACTGAAGGTCGTCGCGCTGGTCCGGGCCCTCGGCCGCCCGCACATGCGCGGCCCAGGCGAGCGGCCAGGCTGGGGGGAGGGATGCGACCGCCCATATGTCTGCAGCATCCACCTTCAACGGGCGACGACCCTCTTGTAGGGTCTGCCCCAGCCCCTGGTGCTCGGACCCCTCAAGGGCGGCCATGCCCCCTGAAAAACGCGCGCGTCCTTGGCGCTCCATGAGGACCCTGAACATCTGGATGGAACTGTCGAACTCCGCCCAATGTACCCTCGCAGAGGCCTGCCACGAAGTCATGGGCGCAGGTCCCCATCGCGTTTAAAGCGCGTCGCCCTCCCGGTGCTTCCTTTGCCCCAAGCTTCCAAACACGCTTCGCGAACAGCCGGCCACAGCGAACCACGCATGTCCCAGAGCCATCGCAGGCTCCAGGCCGACATGTCCTACAAAACTAGCGTCGGACCCTGGCTGGGTCTGGCGCCGCATGTAGCAGCCCAGATGGAGGACGCCCCATCGCCTGGACACCCTCGACCTTATCTCGACAAAAGGGCCATACCGATGGGTTAAAGACTGGCTCTAGTCCTCTGCCTGGCCACTGCGCCTCTCGCCGTTGCAACGACTGCCTTGGATCCATCACCTCCAGGATGGACGTCGGCATCGTCAGAATATCCTGCTTGGATGAATTCCACAGGGGAAGGCGCAGCGGCAGAGGCAGGCTGACTGCCAGCAGAGGCGCTGCCAGCCTTCAGCAGCCACGGGAAGAGGCCCTGCCCGGGAGGCTGTCCTGGGAGTCACCGCCGTCCTCCTTCCCCGGCCTCTTTGCAGCCGACCTCTGCCGCATCTCTCGGTCCTGATTGCGCAGTTGCTGGATATTGCGTGTCTCGGGGCCGATAACATCGACGATGGCCTTCTATACCTCATTGCCGATGCGTTTCTTGAACTTTTCACGCTTCTGGCGCTCTGAAGATTCGACCTCCATGTCTGGGATGTCCAGGACGTCCCCATCCACATTCTCGACGATTTCTTGCTAGCCTTCACTATCGAACAGCTGCGGTATATTGATCTGCGAGCAACCGAGCAACCATTCCCACTGGCAGTCGCCTCCGACGTAGCTGGCGTGTCTGAGCCTTCCGATCCTGTCGCTCTGCGTAGCTCCAGCGTCAGCTCGTCCTGCCACTCCTCCTTAAATGTGAACGCTGCTGATGCCGCCTCAGCAGTCGCCTGCCTGCACTCTGCCGGCCACGGGGCCGCTTCGTCTTCCCTGGGACACACACGCGGGTCGAATTGTGCCTGGGCCCTGCGGCAGGCCACACCCTTGGCCAACAACCATCGTGGCGGGACCGCTGCTGGGGCTCGCTTAACCATGCTGTGCCCTCCAGGGCCTCGGGCCCCACCACTACCTGGTTGCCCAACTTCCTCTTGAGCTGAACCAGGAGCTCCGAAAAATGCTGGCCAGTTCCTCGTGGCGGAGGGCGCGACGACTGCGGCAGCTCCACGCCCCCAAGGTGTTCCTCCCCACCGCCATGTGCCTGACGGCGAATGAGGCACTTGGCCTCCGCCTCCTCCTCCTCCTCCTCCTCCTCCTCCTCCTCCTCCTCCCCCCTCATCCTCATCCTCCTCCTCCTCCTCCTCCTCCTCCTCCTCCTCCTCCTCCTCCTCCTCCCCCTCCGCCTCCTCCTCCTCCTTTGCCGTTCGACCATATCCAGTGAGATGGTGTCCGCAATGGCACCTCCTGGGGAACCAAGGTGGCGTTGCAGCTGAAGCAAAACGTGCGGCATTTCCAGTTACACCTCCACCAGGACGCCGAGCCAGTGAGAAAACCCCGTTCGCATCCTTGCCCATGGGCTCCAACAGGAGCTCATCCAGCGAAGAGAGTGCCCTGAGCGTGCGGCACGGGCTGTACGGTAACGGTATCTCTACAAGAGCCATGTGGTGTGAGAAGACCCTCACGCACGGCCAAGGATCGCAGGTGGGGGCGCACCTCCCCCGTTGCCCCCCACACACACACACACACATTACTGAACCTCCCTGCTCCAGACTTGAGCCAACATGGCCACGGAAGGAGGAGGGAGGAGGGAGGAGGGAGGGAGCAGGGAGGGAGGCGGGAGGAGGGAGAAAGGAGGGGGATGAGGAGGATGAGGGGGAGGAAGGAGAGGGAGGAGGGGGAGGGAAAGGGATGGAGGAGGAGGACCAGGAGGAAGGATGAAGAGGATGAGGAGGAGGGAGAAGAAGGCAGGAGAGGGGGAGGGGGAGGAGGAGGCGCGGCCGCCCCTGCCTTGCTCTACCTCCTCAAGCTCTGCACTTCACGAGGCGGACGCTTCGATATCATCCCCTTGGCAGTACGCAGCAGCAGGGCGGGAGAGGGGAGGGACTTCAGCTTCTCGGGACGTCCCGCGCCCATCACATTCGGAGCAGCCCCTCCTCTGGCGCACGGGCGCGCGGCCCGCGGCCGACGCGATCGGCGTCCGGCCGGCCAAGAAACACCGCGGGGTCACTTCCGCAGGACTC